ACTTGGTCCATCTTAGAAGCATCTAATAGATCAGAAGTAGGAATCTGACCTTTACGCCTACATTCTGAGAGTCAGCCTACCCTTCCCCTTCATAATATTGTACAGGATGCATACATATTTGAATGTTCCTTCATATGAAATGTTTCCTGTGCGTTGGAAACTATTATATGTGAAGGGTTCCAGCCAAGCCTTTTCCCCCAAGCTGTTTGATTTCAACATTTAGGGAAAAGATTTCTCCACCTGTAATCTGAAGTGGTGTAATTTTAGGTAGTGAGGGCAGCAATGAAACAATATCTCACTGCCTCAATTCACTCTTTCTTCACTAACCAATGAAGCTTTTCAGGGTTGTCTGGGGCTTATTACATTCTGGCTCCAGGGATATCTTGGAACCATCTCAGGCCCACTGTAATTTACTCACTGGGCACTTCCAAGAAAAAATATCTTGCATCTGCCTGGACTTGAACTCCAGAGTCAAAGCAGCTGAATCTCTGGAGATATCTGGAGCACAGCATGGTCTGATTTTATTGGATGAGTTTCAATTGATACAGCTTGAGGATGCGGACAAGGTGCTTGAACAGGCTTGTGCAACCACTTCTGTACTGGATCCTTGCCATTCCTGGCTTATAAAAGCCAGCAAGGAAGGCATAACTGGTTGGCCCAGAAAGGTGATTGCTGTGGAATGTTCCCATTCTGCCTTAAAGAGGTGGTGGTGAGACCACTTCTGAAGAAACTCTCCCTTGACCTGGAAGATCTGAATAACTTTAGGCCAACAAGAAATATTCCTCTAGAGATGGTGGTTGCCAATCAACCCCAGCCACTCTTAGATAAGACTGATTACGTGATTCCATTTCATTTCAGTTTCAGGCCTGGCCTGGGCAGAAAAACAGCCTTGGTTGTCCTGTATGTTGACCTATACCAGGAGAGGGATGGAGAGCACAACCCTGTTGATATTGCTGAACCTCTTTTGATACCATTGACTATGGCTTCTGCAATGGCTGTGTCAGTTGGGAGTGGGGAGGGACTGCATTGCACTGGTTCCACTCCTACTTGGAGGGCTGTATCTTGAAGGTGGTGTTTGGGGAATATTGCTCACCCTTGTGGATTCTCCAGCATGGAGTTCTTCAGGAGTCCCCCATGCTATTCAGCATCTACGTGAAGCCACTGAGTGGGGTCATCCAGAGTTTTAGAATGTGTAGCTATCGTTATGCTGATGACATGCAACTCTACTTCTCCTCTTCATCAGATAAGGCTGTGGATGTGCTAAACTGATGCCTGGCTATAACAATGGACTGGATGAGGGATAACAAACTGAAACTCAGTATAGACAAGACTGAGATGTTCTTGCTGGGTTGTTCCTCTATCTGGATGGAGGGTGTTCAACCTAGATGTTGTTTCTCTCCCTGTGAAGGAGCAGGATTGTAGCTGGGGGTGCGCCTTGATCCACCTTTGTCACTTGAGGATCCGATGGCCTCAGTGGCTCAGAGTATAGCTAGAAGAGATAGCTTGGCTTCAGTGATCTGTGCTCTGGCAATCTCTAAATTAGATGCACTCTACATGGGGTTGTCCTTGAAGCTGCAGCTGGTGCAGAATGAGGCAGCCAGATTAGTAACTGGGACCACCATGTCCAAACACATAAGACCAGTTCTGGCCCTCTTGCATTGGCTGTCTGCATGCTTCTGGTCTCAATTAAAGGTGTTGTCTTTAACCTATAAAACCTTACATGTCTTAGGACTGGAATATCTGTCAGAGTGCCTCTCCCAACCACAATCTACTCAGACATTACACTCAACTTGTGGGGCCTTCGTACAACTCAGAGGGAAACAGATTGGGTGGCTTCCCACATTGGTACCCCACACTGAGGATGGCTTTCTTTGTGGTGGCCCCCACTTATGGATCAACATCCTCAATAAGGCCTGACAGGTGCCAAGGCTGTCATCTTTTCGGTACCAGGTTAAAATGGCCCTTTATGCCAAGGCTATTAAAGACCCATCTGGATAACCCAGGTGCTTGAGCAGATTGCCCATCACAGCTGTTTTATGAAGCCTTTCCTTGTTATTGTTTGGTTTAGCTGTTTTAAACTTGTTAATGTTTTTTTCTAATTTTATATATTTTAATTGAATTTTGTTATCTGTTTTATGGACTCTTGTAAACAGCTCAGAAAGCTTTAGCTGTGAAAGGGCATAGAAATGAAATAAATAAATACTATTCCAAGAGATACCTAGAGATGAATCAGTTCATTTTGGTTCCATTTTTTTTTTCCTCACAAATCCCTATCATGGACTTGTTCTACTGCTTTTTTTTTTTTTTTTTTTTGCACTGAAGCTATTTTTGTTATTTGGGTCATATTTTTATCACTTTTTGGAGCCAATAACTGCGTCATAACATTTGGAGAAATACAATATCCAACTGACTGCTGTTTTATGTTCTTCACAGTGGTTTGGGAGCTGTGAACCCATTTGGTTTGCATCTAAATGCAGACCCAGCAAAATCCGCAAGCATCCCTGGAGCTATCATGTGTTTTTGCTGAACATTTGACTTGGCTGGAGAGTTGACACAGAAGGTGTCACTGAAGGTAACTTATATGAACTATTTCTACTGCACTGATATTCTGGCATTCAGAAATCTCCTTTGAATATACTAATCAGAACCATATGCTGTACATACAGCCCTGCCAAAAAAAAGTGGTCATAACAATTATATTTTAATACTACTTCCCATACAATCAATATCCCCCTTTGCTTAAATTTTACTGGGTAAAAGAAAAGCCAAGAGTGTATAAATGATTTCCCAATCCTTACTTAAAGCTGAATCCTTCCCTTCATGTTCATTCAGCTAGGCAACACCTTTTGATAACTAGCATTTGAAAAAAGTAATGGAAGGCCAAATCAAGGATCTCTGATCTCCTAATATGACTTGGAACACAGTACTTTTCAGAGGACATCTGTTGATAATGATTGTAGTGATGTGTTCCCAAGTGATGTAGATACATGTGTGAATCAGGCCTACACTTCCTTGGAACCTGTCATCTAAATAGAAATGGCTTATTTTTAATAGCTTTTTCTATCACATATAGTTTATTGCCTTAGTAACCTACACAACCTACACAACTAGGCAGTGTTTACCTACACAACTAGTTGACAGATTAAAGCATTATGGAAAGTGCTGGATAATGTAATCCTCTGGCAGCATAGAGGTGGCTAAGAGAGTTTTACAGATTCAGCTACAGGAACATTGGAAATTGGCTCATCACCCGGTCTCCAGGCTCTTAGCCATTGTGGAAAGGACCACACTAGCAAGAGCTTGTGTGCCCCTGCCCCCATCCAAGAGCAAGGGGAAGGAAGGGGAGCATACAGGAAGGAACCACCAAAAAATGAGGCATCTTGGCCTGCTCATCCTCTTCTCCCGCACTGAGGCACGTTAGATGGCCAAAGCTGGCCATCCGTTGAACATTTCTCAATTAATATGAGAAAAACAATACAAAATATTTGCTTGATCTCAGAGGGAAGCACTACTCCATGCATGAAAAATGGAAAAGAAAGAACACAGAATGAAATTACTTCTTCAACTGTAAAATCAATGACTGTCAAAGTAAAGAGTAAGCGGGGATGCATTATGTGGTTGGCAGCAGTCGAGTGATAAATTTTGAAGTGCAGCTACTCGTCTTGATAGTCCTTGTAGCCACATCCCCAAGGAGAATAAAAAATACAGGCACCTGGGTACAGACAGACAAACCTGTTCGAGCCACCTCCGGAAAGTGTTGGTCTTTTATGGCAAAAATAACAAAGTGTCTTTATTAAAGACTAACAGAATTATTCTGGCATAAGCTTTTGTGGTTATTTTCCTCTGTATGAGCAATATTTACCGAAGCTTATGCCTAGCTAATGAGTCACCCAAATAACTTTGGCTATTGGATGATAGAGGTATGAAGCAAAATTATTATTAGAACAGAAGATTATAAGTCTTCTTCAGCCAACTTTTTCCCTTGGGTCAACTTCTGGAGTCAGCTCCATGATCTATACACCAGATTTAGCATCACAATTCATCTGATAACAAAACTGGAGTTTAAAAAGGTGCATTGACAAAGAAGGAAGAGGGAACTATGATGCATGAAAAAAAAGGCAAGAGCATAGGGTAGCAGCAAAATACCAACGCACCAAGACCTATCTAGCATCCCTAGTTCTCAGGCAGATGGACTCTTCAGTGTGCAACCTTAATAAAATAAGGTTGGTCAAGGAAGAACTACCTCTGACCTGATCAGATGTCCTTGGCAGGAGTTCAGCTCCTATGGTGCATAAATCAATCCCTCCATCCTGGCACCCTGAATAGCTCCTGGGCCCAACTGGTCATTTTGTCAACAGCTGAGACCTTTGCTACAACACAGCAAATACTACTGCTACAAAGAGGAAGTCTTTAAGGTACTTCAAAACTCTTTGTTTTCACTGGGAAAGTTGCTGCTGGGATAATTTATTTCCTCCCAGCATCTCTACCAATTGCAGGCAATCTCAAAGGGAAAAGGGAAACTAAAAGGGGGAGTGTTGGATGCCATCAGCATTTCTACCTGGCACAGGACACTCTGTTCCTGTCAGCCCTGGCCCTACCACGTCATTGGGTATTAGGTGACCTGGAAAGAGCAAGAAAAAATGCAAAACATTGCATAGAAGCTGACCAGCTGAGATGATTTAAATTATTTGCAAAATGAGATGCCATATAGAAGTTCAGTAAAATCTGACTTTTCATTCAAGAAACTATATTAAAAACAATAGCTCTTAAAAATGCATAGACTTAATGCATGGACAGTTACATTGATTAAAGTTTAATTGGCTTAACCTAGAATGCTATTATGTATTTTACCATTATTTTAATACTCAAGCCCTATTTTCTGGCAATGTGCATTGTAAATATCACTGATATGAGAAACATAATTCAAGTGCAATGACAAAATGCATTGTGTGCATTGGGAAAAGTATGCAGACATTCAGTTTTACACTGTATGCCCATACCTGTAATTGCCAAGATAAACGCCATCCGGATTAAGCATAGGAGCAATTTTGAAGACCAAATGATCTCTTAGGACTTTGGCAATAGGATGTGGACTCACAAGAAAATCAATGATACCTAGGAGAAACAGAAAAAAAAAGAATATTTGTATTACATTATTGAAAAACAGACATTCAAATAAAGTTTTACAAAATATATTTAATTCTAGGATGCAGTTAGTAGCTTCCTAGATTTCATAAACTGAAAGTTTACTTTTCATTTTCTACATACCAATGGAACAAAAATGTATTTTTCATACATCACAATGTTCACACCATGCCACCAAGATGACATAAGTCACGATGGGTGACTCAATCCCCTTATAATCCATGTACTGTTCTCCAAGTTATGAATCTTATATATCAAGTTTGGACAAAAGTTCTCTGTTGCCATGAGATTTTGAAGTAATAACAAATTTTAGCCTGCAATACTACAAAATGGTCCAATGATGTTTTAACTATTTCTTCTTTAATTTCTTTGAAGCAAAAAGCTTTTTTGACTGGCTAGAAAGTTTCATTCCTATGCATGCTTTCCAAAACAGGGCCAGAATGCCATGGGCTACATGCAAAAGAAAAACCAAAACAATGAAAAGATGGCAGCTCAGGAAGGCTTCCCTCTTCCAAGAAATCTTTAAAATGAAGAAGAAAATTGTTTGAAAGACTTTTATTACTATACATTTCCTAAGACATCACTACCATCATCACCATGAAAACTATTCAGACCATGCAAAGAAGACAGAAATAATGCTGTTTGAATTATAAAGATATGTATAGCTTATTAGAGCTAAATAAGGACTGGTTAATTTCAAAAATTAAGAACATGCCAGTTTCTATAAACAGATCAATGAATTTCAAGTTGCAGCAGTATCACTAGTTGTAATCAGATCTGTAAATGAGAGCTGTATATTTGCAGTGGTCCTTATTTTGGATTGAAATAGTAATCAGACTGTTTCATTTTCCCATGCACACCAACCTCTCTATTCCACCCTTAGCTACAAGCTACAATTACATCTAAAGTGGAAAAACAAAATAGACCCTAAGCTATAATTTGTTGAAGCTTAACATTAGAACTGTCAAATGACGGTAATGGTAAGATGCTAAAAGTAAATCAGTTGTCTTTATTAATACCCAAGATACGGGGCGGAGTGGACTGTACAAACACATCAAGAAGGCATCTTTATAACCATTGCACCCTGCCTACATGAGTTCATCATACAGCTTGCTGATATTGGGATAGAAGGGATGGGTTCCTTGAATCAAATCAATATAAATACCTCGGTTTGTCTGAGGAACTACCTTAAATGTGTTGCTTGAAAGTATCTTTCAGCTTGAAAGTACCTTTCAGCAAGTGTAAATGAAGGATGCTACGTTCTTAAATGATATTTATCTCAGGCTAGCTTGATACAACTAATCTTGGTCTTTCAGAAATAGGGCGAGGCTGTGTCCAAAAGTCCCACATAGAAATGAATGGTTTAGCACACCCAGTCCCCACTTCACGTATATGCAGACTTCTTTAGGGCTCTCCTGCACCAGCTTTTGATAGAACAATGTGGAGTATGTCTGTGGTTCAGGCATATTAAAAAATGGAAAATAATGTGTAAGTACCTTTGCAAAGTTTGTATCCGCCCAGTTAGACTCTGCTTGAGAATGTGGAGGGAAACAGAGCTTGTACTGTTGTCAGTATGTTTGTCATTGAAGTTCTGCCACACGGTAGATTAAAGCAGAGACGATCTGGAACCCAAGCTGATCAACATGCATTCCCTAATATGATGTTCCTATGCAGGATATTTTCTTCAGGAAAGTAATGCAAGGCCCATTAAAGATAGTTTAAAATCAAAGTGAAAAGAAGGCCTTGAGAAGTCAAAAGCAAGATGAATCACCCTCTTCCTCTCTAAAATGAGCTGGCATGGGCTAACGGGATCCCTTGGAAGGTCTTCCTTCTCTCCAGTCAATATTTTGTGCTAAACTAATATGCACTGCATGAAAGCACATGAAAAGTCATTTGGCAGAACTACAGCACATGGTGGCAGAAACAACTTGAAACACCACTTGCTCCAGCGACCAAATTTGGTATGATGAATGAATGCATTTAAATGAACACATCTAAGCCAGTACAGTAGCCAGAGTCAACATTACGTGATAGATGCATTACTATTTCCAGTTTTCTTGACAATATCTGTGCCCTGAAAGCACTCCCTCTATTGTTTCCTTCCTTCCTTCCTTCCTTCCTTCCTTCCTTCCTTCCTTCCTTCCATTCATTCATTCATTTATTCAATTTATATGTTGCCCTATTAGCCATGAGGCACTCTGAATTGCTTCCACTTTTGGAATTAAAAAAGGGAGCCATTTGCTTCCATGCTATCACTTCCCCCACTACATTCTATCTTCTGTTTCAGGAAGAAAAATCAGGACAATGTTGGCATTCATTTATGGCTGCCTCTCAGGAAATAAATCAGGATTCCAGTGAAGTTCTGCCTTATCTGGATTATTCCATTCTTGGGTTACAGCATCTCTATCATCCTAAGGCAAAATTCAGGCCCACTTGATATGATAGTGGGTCTCTTTTCATTAGAATCATGAGGGGCTCTGGGTGCAAAAAAGTTTCAGGTGGGGGAAGACCATTGGGTTAGGGCTCAGGGAGTCTCTGACCATATGCTTACCACAGGAACTTGTTTTAGCATCGAAACTGGCAGCCAATTGTTTGCATCATGTATTTTTTGATTAAAATCTAATGTAATGTAATCTAAAGAGAAATTCGACCTTTTCCTCCCATTCTGTGTTTGAAGTGAAGCTCCCTCCTTGGCACCAATGCAAATAGAGTTGCAGCTTGGTCCCCAACTTGCAGATCTTTCACACAACACTTATCTGGGAATGTTTCTCCCTAAGCATTCCTAATTTAGCAGGATGGCCCATTTTTGTTAGTATTGTTAAACAATAAGGAATTGGAACTCTTTCTTAGTCTACTGCAAAGCCATATAGAAACCTATCAGTTGATCCCAGCCTACTTTGTCTTCACCTGTGTAAACAGGGTTGCTGACTCCTCTGTCATTGACTGGTGGCACCTTATCCACTGCAACTTTTATTCCGAGCTTTATAGGAGCTATGCTCCATGGTAGTGACGCTATTTGGAAGGACAGAGTTCAGCACCATGGGTATGTCATATAAAATCTTAGAAGGAAAGCTGCAATAGATAAGGAAGCCCACTGACCCAGGAGTTACCAGCCTGCCCTATAAATCAACAATTATCTCAAAAGCATAAAAAATAGTAGACCAGGACTGGACCCAAACTCAGGCTCCTAATATACATACATACATACATGCAAGCAGTCATTTTGAACTTCATGGAACTTACTTCCCGGTAGGCATGCACAGGAAAATATTGTCAGTCATACTTAGATTATGAAATAAACCTATCAAGTTGGGCATACCCAACCCACTGTATAGATTCTTCTCAGGGCCAACAAGCTTAATAGTGACAGTATGCTTGAAATTAAAGGAATTTCTTACAGGTTAGGGTTTTCTTTTTTAAAAATGCAGGCTTCAAGGAAAAGAAAAGCAATGTGAGACCTCTTCATTGATGATCCAATCTTAAAATGTTTACAGAAAAGTCAAAGTCAAATCTCAGTTCTAAAACCAAGATAGAATAATATTTATTGATCATTATAACAAAGAAGCAAATGAAATTTGTCTTATATGTGTGTGCATAAAATCATGGTGAGGCAATCGATAAAATTACCTCAAAGCTGTTTCACATGAAGAGGATGGCTTTCAGATCAATATGGTTCATAATAATAATAAAAAACTGGACATTTTGAAAGCTGAGAGAATTGTCTCTTTGTGTTAATAAATCAATGCAAACTAAAATTTACATCTTCTACAATCCGTAAGAGACATATCTTGTTTTTCATTAGACCAAGGTTAAGAATCTGGCAGAAACCAACTCCATTTAGTGTAATTTACGGGAAGACGGACCGTGTGATTCAACAGATGCCCTAATTTAGTTGTTGGTTCTTGTATTAAAATAACAGTTTGCTGGTAAACAGGAAGACTAATGATGCCAGTCACCCTTGTTAGTGGCTAATAATTGCTTAATTTGTCCACTAATTGACCTGTGCTACTACTGAGGCGTTGGACCGTGTTCCAGGGATGGAGGAAAACAAGACCACTCTAATGTTACCTCTGAGAATGACTTCTGGAAATGGAACTACATGTTGCAATATATTTTCTCTTCACAGATGAGCAGATTAGTCTGCAAATTAGTGTGCTGTTAAAGAAAATAATCATAATTCTATAGATTTCCTTGGATTTTAGAAGTATTACTCTTGTCAGGGTCAAATCAAGTGATCCAAATTGAATCAATCAAATCAACCAAACAACATAACTTTTTTCTGAAATAAATGGAAGAAAAGAACAGAGAGAAGACAACTCCATTGCTAAACACCAGTTCCCCAGACAGTATGAATTTCTGGATATGGACACACTGATACAAAGGCTGCTTTGTCAAGCGAAAGGGGGAACAACCTATTCTGGTTGCGCCACAAGTGAACTGAGCAAACTATTGGCCCTAGAATCTTGCAGGTAACACCATCTGTGCTCTACTCAACAGAAATGTATCTTGGGACAGAAATGCACTGATATATAAAAGTTCTGCTAGATACAGCAGCGCTCTCTCTCTCTCTCTCTCTCTCTCTCACCCACCCACCCACCCACCCACCCACCCTGCGAGAAGGATCTGTTTCCACCATTGAAACAGTACGTGTGTGTAACATATCATTGTGCACATATAAACATATAATGTGTCAGGGGAAGAAAATAGCTCTGCCTTGCACTGCAGGATCCAAGCATATCTATTGATCATTTTTGCAGTTTCACAGGATCTTCTAGGGATAATCTCAGTTATATTATTGATTGGCTGCATATGTAAAATAGCATATCAGTTGCATACAGGAAGGCATAAACCTATTGTTTGTGTCAAATTCAGGATGATGCTTCTTTAACCAGCAAAGGACTGTAAGAAACAGGAAAAATGATGGATAAACGATTAGTTTTGTGTGTGTTCTTCTAGGCTCTTCTAGAGTT